ATGCCAGCTCCGTCCTCCATTGGGAAGCTCCATTTTCTTATATTGTCATTTGATCTTCCTACCCCAATGCACAGTCTATTTAGCAATTTCCCTAGAGGCTAAATAAAAGCAATTTTTGTAGAGGGCAAGCTTGTTCTTGTCCATGCAGCAGACAATCATATGGTTGTGCCCAACTGCCCGGTAGCTTTTTTACTCACCTTCTACAGTTCCAGGGCAGTCTGTGGTGGATGGTTGTTGGCAGGGTCGAAGGCTCTGAGGAAGCTGTTCCTAGATCTCAGCCTTAACCTTGGAGATTGATGGCCATGTATGTTTCCATGGATGTCTCTTTAACCCACTCTTTCTATGTAGCACTTTTTCCAGATAAATTTTAGAGGGGAAATACGAGTTATGTAATGCAACTTTTGTATGCACCATGTCATCTTCTTGAGCCATTCTACATCCTACAAAATGTATGTATGGATAATGAATAGGTTCAAGAAGAAGACATTGCCTATATCAGATGAATCAGTATAAATTTTGCTTGCCGTAATATTGTTATTGTGGTACGGGTGAGAATGCAGATGTCAAATGCTATTATTTTTCTTTTTCATAATAACATGCCATTTGTTGCAAAATAAGATCAAAGGCTGTTTGAGGGTGGGGCAGAGAGAGACTTAAACAACCAAAAATATTTCAACAGCAGCTGAAGAGCTATTTGGCTGGAATGTTACAGTTAATATCCCTGCAATTTCTGCACCCAATACAATTTGGGTTGACTTCAATAATCCCAGTCAATATTATTTTTAAAAAATATTGTTTCAAATTATATAAATTATACATGTAAATTGGCAGTCCTAAAAAAGCAAATCTGTAGAGAGCAAGGAGCTTGCCATAAGAAGCTAGACTAATTTAAGCTTAATTTAAGATAATTTAATTACTATTTACCATTTCATACAGAAAGAGGTCCAATAACAAGGAAAAAAGCTAAATAAATGCTTGCTTTGCTTTTCAGCACATAGAGCCAAGAAACCAGCTGCCCGAAAAACAATAGGGAACTTTGACGCAAGTTGTTAGTGGAGGAACTGTGCTTTCTGTAGGTTAGGAGAATCTCTTAAACCTGTTGGCTTTCTGCTGTAGCCAGAAAACAGATGGATTGCTAAAAAGTTCCCCCATCAGGACCACAATGCCAACCTATTCAAATTACTTTTTTAAATAGAATAGGATCATATAACACTGGGTTGCAGACTACTTCCTTATAAGAATTTTTAATTATAAATATTTTAGGAATATAGAAGGCGGTTGGGTTTTTTTTTGTTGTTGTTTATTTGTATGTTTAGAAGTGAAGGGCTGGATACGGATCTACCAGAATAGGAGATTTCATTGCAGGGGTTGTGCGCACTGTGGATTGCACAGATTATGACTGGAGGGAATAGACGAGAAATAATGATACTGAAAAAGGAATTGCAAGAGGAGATTTAGGACAAAATTTCAGTAATGATGGTTGGGAGCTGCTTGTGCTTGATCTTTTATTTTGAACAAACTCTAGAGACCAGCAGCCAAAATGCTATTATAAAATGCAGCTCACACAGATGTTGCTGAATCCACCTAACAGGGCAAGGTGTAATAGTAAGTGGGAAAGACCTTGGGGAAAAGGGAAAAGAGATGCTGCCTAGATAGGAGACAGAATAGCCTCTCGCTAGGCAGTAGGCAGGGCAAGAGGCTCAAAAAGGACCCTCCTTAGTTTCTTGGGGAATAAATTGGACAGAGGGTAAGGAAGGGGGAGAAGTACTTTCAGACTTGCCAGATTCTGTCAATGTAGCTTTACAAAAAAAAAAAAAGTAGGACTGGTTTATCTGGTTGTGTTTCCTGCCTTGTCTACCTGGTAAAGCTGACACATGGGGCTTGCCCTGACTTCCAATAATTTTTTCTAATTTAAATTTCTGGCTTTGAGCTATAAAGGTTTGTCTATCTTTATTGCCCAAATACCTTCACAATCACATTTTCCAGATAGAATCAGTCCAACTAAATCCATTGTCCTGGGAGAAGCTGTTGGTTGTACCCCAGGGGCTGATGCTCAAAGATGCCTCTTTTTATTGAAGTTTGACCAAAGTTTTATATTGTCAGTAACCAATGAGAACTCCAGTAGATTACCCTGGTTTGCAAGTTAAGTCAGGAAAAACAAAGAAAGAGGAGGATCTCTGAATTCTTATGTCCAGAGACTGATCTTGAGATACTTTTAAAAATATAAGTGCGTGTTCTACTATACCTATGTAGGAAGTTAGCATCCACCCCTCTCCTAGAAAAATGAAATATTTTAGGATATACTGAAAGGGCAGAATATTTCCCATAAAAAGAGAAGTGGAAACTCAGAGAGGCAGAAACTCAGCTCTCCCACCCTTGCCAATGGGGCCATTAAGGCCTGGGCCAGAGTATTCTACATAACAAAGGTAGCCACCTCACTACATGGCCCAGGAAGATTACATCAGCCAGCACTCAGACAAAGTCTTATAAAGTTAGCTAAGACCCTTGCCCTCTAGGAGTCTGACAGGCAATGGGATACATTTCTTACACAGGAACAGGAAACACTAAGGTGGTGGGGGCCAAACAGAGGGCATAAAACTCAGGCACTCTCAGCATCTCAGCCCTTTTTCCTTTCTTTCTTCACTCAACATCTTGAAGCATGTGATCGCCTTTTTCTTCACCCAGCCATGTGGTCCTGGTTTTTTTTTTTTAAATTTATTTGATTTGTCAATCGCTTACAAGATAATGGATATAAGTATAAACATAATTATGAATACATGAAATGGATACATATAAGAAAAATAAAAAGAAACAATAGGACAGGGATGGTAGGTACGTTGGTGCACTTATGCACACCCCCTACAGACCACTTAGGAAAGGGATGAGGTCAATAGTAGACAGTCTAAGGTTAAAGTTTTTGGGGTTTGGGGAAGAAACCACAGAGTCAGGTAGAGTATTCCAGACATTGATCACTCTGTTGCTGAAGTCGTATTTCCTGCAATCAAGTTTGGTGCGATTAACCTTGAGTTTGTATCTATTGTGTGCTCTTGTATTGTTATGGTTGAAGCTGAAGTATTCATTGACAGGTGGGACATTGCAATGTATGATTTAATATACTATACTTAGATCAGACTGAAGGCGGTGTAGTTCTAGGTTTTCTAGGTCTAGAATTTCAAGTCTGGTGGCATAAGGTATTCTGCAACGAGTAGAGGAGTGGAGAATTCTTCTTGTGAAATATTTCTGGACTTTCTCAACGGTGTTAATATCAGGTACATAATGTGGGCTCCAGACTGATGAGCTGTATTTGAGTATTGGTCTAGCAAATGTTTTGTATGCTCTAGTTATTAGTGTAATATTACCAGAGAAAAAGCTACATAAGATTGGGTTAACAACTCTTAATGCCTTTTTGGCTATGTAGTTACAGTGGGCTCTAGCACTTAGATCATTAGAGATGAGTACTCCAAGTTCCTTGATAGAGTTTGGATTATCAACAAGGTCTTGACTATTCAGCTTGCATTTTATTTTCTGATTTTTTTTGCCAATATGTAAGACAGAGCATTTATTTGTTGAGATTTGAAATTGCCCTTTGTTTGACCACCTGTCCACCATTAAACTTTCTTTCCAAGCAACTGCCATGATTCCAGTGTATTTTCCCCCCACTTGGAACCCAGAAGGATATTTCTTCCAACTCCTAGTTCAGGAATGTGGAGGCACAGTAATATGGAATGAACACAATCTCAGGGTTTAGATGTGTTCCTAGGTGGCAAGCCTATTCATATTAATTCAGACCATTTTGATTCACTATACTCTCCCATATAAAATTCACTATACTCTTCCCACAACAATCACAGTTTCCATTATTTATCCTTTTCACCTAGTAATTGCCATAAGCAAATTCTGTTGATGCAAGAAGCATTTCAGAGACTTCACCGACAAATAACACTCCAGTTCTTGGGATCTTTAAATGCCGCAGCATTTATTCTAGATTCTGCCCCCCTTTTTCAGATGTGTAGAGAATATTGTCTTGAGAGAGGAAAATTTATATTCACATGGTTGAGATGGGTGCAGACAATTATATCAGAAGAAAATGAAATCAGTGTTGTTGAGCAATATCTGATTTTGGCTCCTGATCTTGGGTCATTCTGGACCCACTTTGCCCATTGAATTGCTGTCCTATATAACATAGCATGTCTGAAAAAGGGCCAAAAAATAGAATAAAAAGCTTACTGGGATTCTGCTGTCACATTATAGCAACAGCAATAGCACTTAGACTTATGTACTGCTTCACAGTGCTTTACAGCCCTTTCTAAGCGGTTTACAGAGTCAGCATATTGCCCCCAACAATTTGGGGCCTCATTTTACCCATCTCGGAAGAAGGGAAGACTGAATCAACCTTGAACCTGGTGAGATTTGAACTTCCAAATTGCAGTCAGCCAGTAGTCAGCAGAAGTAGTCTGCAATACTGCACTCTAACCACTGCACCACTGTAATATGTATCTCTTCTGCTTCTTCAGTTTCTGTGGAAGACAAGTTAGCATGATACGGTAGGCAAGGCTTTGCTATAGAAGTTAATATCTTGAAGTTTGTCTACAATTTTAAATAAGATTATCTAGGACCACCACCACCCACAATCCAGATTTCAGATATCTATAGAGATATTAGAGTATCAAGAATCAATATCTGTGATTTTGTTGCTATATAAATCTTCCTACATAATGCATTCATGTTCAGAATTTCCTGGAACATTGGTTAAAAAAATGTTATTTCAGTATGTTTTCTTAGCTGGCAATAGGAAGGCAAATTAGGATCTTTTCTTGGCCAGCAGTTCTAACACTCCAACCATCTATCTACTGAGTTCATAAAGGTTTGGAGACATTGTTTCTATTTTTCTTCTCTTAACTGTAATCAATCTGTGAAGAGTTCTGCATAATGGATGAGAAGTCACCTATCTCATGTGGAATTTTTTTTTTCTAGAATAGCAGTCTTCCCCAGAACAGTGCAAATCTGATAATGTTCAACTCGAATAATTGGTATAGTTTAGATTGAAGATCCAATTCAATTTAGACTCCTAAACCAATTGGGAAATCGGGAAATAGGTATGATTCACACATCCAAATTGTTTCAGTTTGATTCAGGCTTTGAATTGATCTTTAATAATGTTTTTGGCCAACCACATAAATTGTCGAAATCATTTGGAATCATCAGGTTTAGTTTGATGAACTGAATCTTTAAATAACATATTTGCACAGCTCTATCAGGCATAGGACGTCAACCCTCAGAATTCCCAACACAGTATACCTGGGGGATACCAGATTGGAAAAGATTATTTATGAATCCAATGTGATGCTGCCTAGTTCCAAACAATGCTGGGTGGCTTGCAAAACACCAACAGAATGTATCAGAAGCAAACAAAGCCAAAAGAAAAACAAGGAAAAACATAGATGAGCAAGAAATAACATTCCACCTATAATTAACATACAACAAATAGGGCACCAACCACTCTAGACAAAGACTAGGGACAACAGCCAGTTCTTTATGGACCTTCAGAATACTAATGGGGGCAGTAGATCACAGAGGGAACCTCATTCCACAACAAAAAACAAGACATTGTTTAAACAAAATAACCCATGGCATGCTAACCTTGTCATCTCAAATCAACTGGGCAGTCACCATGGGAGATAGGTGTCCCTCAGTGATACAGATATTATGCCTCTTGTATGTAAGTGTACAATCTTCTATATGTGCTGTATTAACTGCCTATATATAGTGATGCACAAAGAGTCATGGTGGCACAGTAGTTAGAGTATAGCAGGCTAACTCTGCCCACTGCCAGGAGTTCGATCCTGACCATTTCCAAGTTGACTCAGTCTTTCATCCTTCTGAGGTCTGTAAAATGAAGACCCAGATTATTGGGGGCAATATGCTGACGGTTTAGAGAGGGTTGTAAAGTCCTATGAAGCTGTCTAAGTGCTACTGCTATTGCTATACCATTTATATGTACCCTCCAATGTTGCAGTTGTTAGAAATAATGTAAACAAGTGGACTACTCTCCTTATTCAGAGCAGATGTATACTCTACTGAATCTAAATAGGATTGAACTGTAAATCCACAATTACTAGATTATAAGGCATCATGGAATAGTTACAACTGAAGTAGATTGAGGACGTTTCCCATTGATTTGTATTAAGGGCCTTTGTAGATAGGATCAGCCACTGTCTGAAATAAACTTTTCAAATGACATATTTGTTACCAAAAGCATAAATGACAAGAAGCCAAATCCAGTGTTATTATGTTTCTTAACTATCAGTCCTTAATACGGTAGGATATTTCTCTGTTGAGTGAGCTATATGAAATCTGAAGAAAGGATTTCATGGAACACACTGGCTGCTTCCTAAAAAGTCATTTAAAAAAATTATTCTCACCAAAGTTTCTGGATCAATTTAATTGTGTAATTAGCTGTGGCACTGAGATCCACCCCTAAAGGTATTTCTTTAATGATTCTCAGACAACTCCAGCATCCTCAGAGCTAGACTTGTATGGCCACTCTATGAAAAACTGAAAGAAAATAATAACCCTGCTTCAAGGAGCAAATAAACAGTGCTGGTTTTCCTTTCTTTCTTTTTTCTTTTTTAATCATTTAGCAGATTGGTGGTTTTTATTGAAAAAAAAAATCCCTCTTCTTCAGGGCAGAAAAATACACAGCTAAGCCAAGTTGCTGTCACCTTTCCATACTTGTTAATAACATCTACCAAACAGTCACACGAGACAGTTCTGGTCTCATAGCCAACCCTGTTGACTAATGGAAGTTGTTGTAACATCATCACACTTGTCATGCAGTCTGGAGCCAATGCCATCTGAAGCAGTTTCTCTGATCAAAAATAGTAACAAACGATGTCAAGCTGTCACCTCAATTGGACTTTGCTGTTTGGTCTTGTCATTGCTAGCCTCCCACCCCACACCACCTCATAATATTCTCACATTCTGTTTCTCATTTCCTTTCCCAGAACTGAGCCATATGTTGACTATATACAGTAATCCCTCTTATGCTAAAAGTTATATTTAGCCAACTTAGCAAGAGAGGTCTGGGCTGACTAAAAGGTTCATTAGAAAGCCTGTGGATCTTTCTCCATTGACAGGAATTGATTGCTCTCGTCTTCTCCAAGAGAAGGCTTTTTTAACCCATAAAGGTAAAGGTTCCCACCGCACATATGTGCTAAGTCATTTTCGGCTCTAGGGGGTGGTGCTCATCTCCATTACAAAACCGAAGAGCCAGAACTGTCCGAAGACATCTCCATGATCATGTGGCTGGCATGAGGGAACACTGTCACTTTTCCACCAAAGTGGGCCTTATTTTTCTACTTGCATTTTTACATGCTTTCCTTTCGAACTGCTAGGTTGGCAGAGGCTGGGACAAGTGCTCATTCCATTATGTGGTGCTAGGGATTCGAACTGCTGAATTGCCAACTTTTCTGATCAACAAGCTCAGCATCTTAGCCACTGAGCCACCACATCCCCCCCACCTTTTTTTAACCCATAGTACCTGTATTAAGTCCCACCTTAGGGGAATGTGGCACATAATTTAAAAATCTTTCCTAAAATTCAGGCCCTGTGAAGGCTTTATAGGAAGCCTGGATAAATGAGAGGTTTTCTTATACGGGTAGTCCTCTACTTAAGACCACAATGAAGCCCAAAATTTCTGTAGCTAAGGGAGACATTTATAAAGTGAATTTTGCCCCATTTTCCTATCAGTGAATCACTGTAGTTGTTAAGTTAGTAACGTCATTGTTAAATGAATCTGGCTTCCCCATTGATTTTGCTTCAGAAACCAGAAGGTTGCAAAAGGGGATCATATGACCTTGGAACACTCCAACCGTCATATATATAAACCAGTTGCCAAGCACCCAAATTTTGATCATGTGACCATGAGGATGCTGCAACAGTCATAAGTGTGAAAAATGGTCATAAATCACTTTTTTCAGTGCCGTTGTAACTTCGAACAGTCACTGAATGAACTGTTGTAAGTCAAGGACTACCTGTAGTAGGTTAAGCATTCAGATCCATGCTCTGGACAGTGCTTGGGGATTTCCAAAGGTTAAAGTGAACCCTGTTAATTTCTAACCTACTTGTTTGAAGTGCCCTTAGGAAATATCCAGAGTCTGTTATGAACTTACTTCTTCCACAAATCTACCTGAAAGTACAAACAAACCTTAAGATTTCAAAAGCCTAAATTGACTAGGGCTGAATTATAATGAATTACAATGGTGTTTTGCCTTTTGTAGAGGCTTGGATAAAGTCTCCCTTAATTTTATACCCACATCAACTCTGTGGGGGAGGTAGGCTAGAAGTGGAAGTCTGCTTCAATTCAACACAGGTTAAAATCAAGATTTAGTAAAACCAAGCTTCCTACAGCTTTCCTGAACTACAAAAGCTAATCCACAAAGATAGCACCTTTTGTTTCTTAATGCACCGAGATGTTTTCTTTTCCTGTAACTGCATATTTAAAGCTTTAGTTAAGCATCTTCACCTATAGACCACTTCGCCACTCAAATGAGAGATTCTGCATAATGGTTGGAATCTCAGACTACAAATAGGAAAAAGCCTTCAGTCACTATCATTCAGCTTAACCTATTTCCAAGATTGTTGTGAAGATGAAATCGGGGAGAATTATGAATACAACTTGAGCTGTGTGTAGAAAAGATGAGTACAAATGTACGGCATAATAAATATAACTTACATAAAATGCAAAGTCATTTGCATTTCTCCTTGTAAGACTGTGGTAGACTTAAGTCCAAAGCAACATCATTTTGTTAAAGGTAGCTAAGTACAGATACTCACCATCAGACTCATATTACTTCACTGGATTGTATTGAGCAATTTCACATTAGATACAGATAATCAGCGTTGGAAGGGACCTTGTAGGTCATCTAGTCCAACCCCGCACCCAAGCAGGAGACCCTACACCATTTCTGACAAATGGCAGTCCAATCTCTCCTTGAAAGTCTCAACTGATGGCGGTCCCACAACTTCTGAGGGCAAGCTGTTCCACTGATTGATTGTTCTCACTGTCAGAAAGTTTCTCCTTATTTCCAGGTTAAATCTCTCCTTGTTCAGTTTCCACCCATTATTCCTTATCTGGCCTACAGGCACTTTAGAAAATAGCTTGACCCCTTCCTCCCTGTGGCAGCCCCTCAAATATTGGAAGACTGCTATCATGTCTCCCCTGGTCCTTCTCTTTACTAGACTAGCCAAGCCCAGTTCCTGCAACCGTTCGTTGTATGTTTTAGCCTCCAGCCCCCTAATCATCCTGGTTGCTCTTCTCTGTATTTTTTCTAGAGTCTCAACATCTTTTTTATAATGTGGTGACCAAAGCTGGATGCAGTACTCTAGGTGTGGTCATTCATTAGAGATGAATGAAGAACATTTGAAGGGCTGCAGTTGGATTTTGGGGGCATGGGGGAGGGGGAAACCAGGCAATGGTGCAGATGGGTGAACCTTTATCTCTCATGTGGGTAAGGGAAATGTCACTTTTTTAAAAAAAAAAATCTTTTTGTTTCTTTTTAGTTATAAATAGCCTATTTTAAGCCTACACAACAGTTTTGGAAAAACCTGCCAATAATACTAATATCAATAGCATTTAGAATTATATATCATTCGACAGTGCTTTACAACCTTCTGTAAGCAGTTTACAGAATCAGCATATTGCTCCAACAATCTGGGTCCCTTTTTTGTCAACCTTGGAAGACAGAAGGCTGAGTCAAGCTTGAGCCAGTCAAGATCAAACTCCTGGCAGTACTGCAATACTGCATTCTAACAACTGCACCACCACAGCTCTCTGAGCCAATAATGTTGGGATATTATGGTTTTCTGCAGTTTCATCAAACAAAAAATTGCAGTAATAAGTTGAGATTATAACTTGAAATGGCTGGCTAATTTTTGAAGAACCTACATATGCCTCCCTTCCCTCTTCTGTTATAATTTGCCTTGAATCACTACCAACAAAATCCATTAAAGA